TTTTTTTTTTTTAAATAAAACATCTTTAAAATGTGCAGGCAGTATGTCATTCATTGAAAGACAGATTCCCCATATTTGAGTATGAGACAGATATCTAGGAGGTATTGTGACTAGCCCCAATGAAGATGGGAACCTAGACTTAGTCAAGCTCCTAGTTGCCCCTCCCAAAGGCCCACAACTCTCCTCAACCCTTTGATCGACTGGGCTCACCAATACAGACCACAGCCACCTCAGTCCCTCTCATTTTTCAAATCAGTCATTTTTGTTTATTTGGCATCATTAACTAAACAGCATTTGTAACTTGAAGATGCAGGTGACCAGGACAGATAGGGTCTTTATCTTCCTGGAGCTCACCCAAGACAGTGAAATGGAAGCAAACAGTAAGGACTGTGCAGGTTAGAGCACACTGCACTGTCTTAGGAAGAACAGTGTGAAGATGCTCCTCTGGGAGAAGGATCCATATCCGGTTTCAGGTTAGGGAATGTTTACCTCCAATTTTACCTCTCCCAGCAAGTCCCTACTCTAAGGAGGACCAATTCCTCTCCCAGTTTTCTTGAGCACAGCAAGATATCCATATCTGCTGGGCACTGTGGCATAGCCTGTAATACCAACAGCTTGAGAGGCTGAGACAGGAAGATTGCAAGTTCAAGGTCAGCTTCAGCAATTTACCAAGACCCTTTCTCAAAACATGAAGGGGCTGGGAATGTAGCCCAGTGGTAAATTGCCCCTATGTTAAACCCATAGTATCCCCGTGCCCCCCCCCCCAAAAAAAGCAAATCTAGCACTTTCAAATGAAACTTCTCTTAAGACTAGCAAAGTTTTAGGACTTAACTTTCTTCAGAGCTACCCTGACATATCTGGACAAAAAAATAAAAATGGTAGCTAATATGGTCCACTGTATGCCAGTCATTGTTTAAGGGCTTTCCATGTATTAACTTAGGAGATAGACACCATGTTCCAGTTGGAAAATGAATTTTAAGTGGGCTGGGGATGTGGCTCAAGCGGTAGCAAGCT